TTCTCCGGACAGCAAGGCTATTTCTGCCATTTGCTTTTCCAAGAAGAGTGAGAAAATGCAGTTGCTATCTGGCTCTCGCCCCTTTCCCACAGGGAACCCCTGTGTATGTTATTTTTATAAGCCATCCTTTTGCAGTACACAAGCTTTTACTTTGATTTTAAAGATACAGAAAAGGAAAAGAAAAAAATCCCTTCAGATTTCAAGTTATCTTGCATTTTTTGTCCTTATGTTACATGCGAGGGCAACAGAGCTGCATGATATTTCATGGCGAATGGTGGCAAGAGGACAGCACTCCGAAAGATGGAATGGTTATTCTTATGTCTGGAATGAGGTACAGCCCTAGCAGTGGTGGCACAAGCGTCCCCCTTGTTTTCTGCAGTCCAGAAAATGAAAGAGATGGCTCTTCTCAGCCCATTGGTTTCCTGTATCTGCAACCTCCCTTCTAAAGGTTGCTGACCAATGGTCTCCCACACTGGTGGCTCCAGGGCTGAGATCCATCAAGACCAGCCAACAGAAAGGAGATAAGCTTCTATTCCACACTGGCCATGGATGAGATGGACCAGACACCTTGACTCCTCCCCCAGACTTTGCCTAAAGCTCACTGCCACCAGCTGATTGATGCTGATGCTCCAGAAAGAGCAGGGGTGTCTACATCCCACTCCCAGAGCGCTAGGCTGAGCAGATTTTTGGAGCTAATGACCATGGATTTATTTAGCCTTTGTAGGCTTATTATGAAACTGTCTGAGGGCCCTAAGACTCTCAGAGTCTCCTGTTCGCAAGGACAATTCAGCCAGCTCTTTAATCTTTTCCATTTCAATCTCATTTAAGTATTTTGGCCACGTTTTCATGCTTTAATGACTGGCTGATAGAAGGGAAAAGAAAAGATTAAACAAAGGTTAGGATAAGAGCTTAGCTGGGGAAGAAATCTACCCGTGAGGAGGGAGGGCAGAGATAGAATGCATGCCATGTTTTAAGCTAGCGGGTTCCAGCCTCCCTGGTCACACCTGGTCCCATGCTCTGGTGTCCCCTGTGCATGTCCGGGCAACGACAAGCCACGGTGTTGCCCACAAAGCAATGCTGTCTGAATCAGGCTCTGCTCCAGCTCCAACCTCTCCAGCTACTCCGGCTCAAATCCCCACAGCCTGCCAGAACCTTCCCACACATTCGACATCCTTAGACTGGGCCAGCCCTACCAGCTTCCTCATTTCTGATGCACGCAGCTATCGTCTGCCCATCACTGTCACAAGCCTGGGATGGTCATTTTTGCTGCCTGGCTCTGATGGTTTCCTTTTTATTGTTTCCAGGGTATGCTTTCATGGATAAAGCATTTCAAATCCTGCTGGCTGAGCCTCTCTCCCTCTCCTTTGTCATCGCCTCTTAGCCAAGTAGCTCCTCACAGGCAAGTCCACAGGGGCGTTGATTGGTGTGGGCAGATGTACGGCTTCTCAGCACAACTATCTTTGGCAGGATTGGGGAAGGGGGCCAAGAATGCACACGTATTGTACTTGGCTCCTCTGAGTGTATTCTGGCACATCCAGCCTCGTAGTACGCACCAGCTGCCGCTCCTACCACGCTCTGTCCCAGAGCGGGCAGACCCACACTCCGGTCCAGGACCTCTGTAGACACATCCACACTAACATTGAACCAGCCTGCTGGAGGAACTGAAGGGTGGGGAGATGGCTGCATGAGGCTTGAGGGTATGCAACCCTCTAGGGACCCCAGGGAAGGACTGCAGCAGTCAGCCAAGCTCAGCTCCATACCTCTCCACTGAACAGTGACTTTGACCACAGCACGGATATATCGCACGCTGCAAGTCTGAATCTGCCTCGGGTCGGTGGCCATAAAGCAACGACCAGCAGGCTCTGCACAGGGCTCAGCGAAGGGCACTACAAACAACTTCCCAAACTCTCCCAAGCAGGTTCCCCTTGTCTGTACATCCAGAGAAGCTGAGAGACGGACGGACCATGAAGGACCAACTCCTATGGCCAGCACATGTGGGAAGCCGCCGCTAGCCTGTTCAGGCTGTTCCTGCTTTGTAGTAAGAGGGTTAAAGATTTGAGGGTGGTTTGTGTAATGGATTCAGTCTGGACTTTCAGTTTTTTGGGGAACTGAAGACCACTAGAAGGTCCGCGTAGGCTCCTGCAAAGCTTTGTGGACTGTTTTCCATGGAAGTAAGGCTAGATGCTTCATAGCTTAACAAGCTAGTGCTTGTGCTATGGGACATCCCTACCTGACTCCAGCATGTAGGAGAAAGCTGGGCACTCCACTGCCCACAATTATGCTTTCGGTGGAGACTACAAAGAAGTGCCGTGGGGAGCATGGGTGACAGGCAAGGCTGAAAGCTTACCTGTGGCCGGGGGTGTCCTGTGACCAGACACTGCAGGACCAATGTGTCCCCCTCCCGAATTGTGTAAACGCGTTCGCTGATGTTGTCTTCCTTCACCACGCACGCCTGCCCAGCATGGATGATTTGGGCCTGAGCGGGAGCTGTGGAGAGGAAAGAAGAGGTAGAAGGAATCAAGCAGCATCCCAGCCCCTTATGCCCACCGCCCAGGGTGGCTGCTCCCACGGCACGGTGGAAAAGCCACCTCTTAAGCCACAGAGGGGTAGATGGACAGTGCTGGGTATGAGACAAAAAGGTGTCAGGAGATATAAAATTGAGCAATCACCTGGGTGGCTTGTACCAACTTCTGTTTTAAAACCTTTGGTCCTGCTGGAATGAGCAGCTCTAGGCACTGAAAAGCAGAATATGGAGATTTTTGGGGAGAGTCTCCTGCATGGGCTGAGGACCAAGAATTCCCTCCTCACATCTCTCCCAGAAAGGAGTACATGCGAGTCGTTAAAGCAGGGACCTGGTCAAATCACAGCTTCCCTATGCCTGTCTAAAACAGGCCTGATTATTATGATTTACCTTGCAGGGGACTGAGATAACTACCGAGCAGCATCAGAAAGGGTCTCGGAGCTCTGCACAGCTTTTAGCACACGTCCCTAGAACAGGCGTAGCACACGCTGGAGGAGAAACAAGTCTTTCCAAGTTACACAGCAACCTATCTCAGCCCTGAGCCAGAGGGAACAGACTCTGTGGGAGCAGGGGACCCATCATCTCCAGGGATCCCTCCAGCTAGGGCTCCAAGCGGACCCCAGTTACTGCCAGGCTGGCCAGGAAAACAAGTGAAGACCAGTGTTGTGGAAAAACACATGGGAAGAAAGTTCCCAGAAGAAGTTTAAAAACTTCCCAAACAGCAACTATGCCCCACTGTAGCCCCGACCAACAGCAGGGAGAGACAAGCTCGAAGAGAATGGGTTTTTTTAAAGGAAAAAGCCTCAGCTCCAGAGTCCTGTGCAAACAGCCCTAGGGTCCCTCCTCCAACAGCGTTTGTGTGATCACTGAAGTGGCTGAGATGTATTGAAGGTGACTGCGCAGCCCAACAGGACACCTGGGCTTCTTGGAGGGGAAAACTCCAGTCGCACTTCAAGGGACAGAGAAACCCCCAAATGAGCCTGAGAATCGGAGCCTCAGCGGGAGCCCCCTTGGGATGCCTCCCCGTCTTGCTGCAATGCTTCCAGGTGACTCTGGAGTCACCGCGCTCGCTCCCATTAGCGAAATGCAATGCAAACGAACAAACCACGGAGGAGAAGATGAAAGAGATTCAAGCAATGAGCCTTAGCGAGCCTTCTGAAACCAGCACAGATTTTGCACAACCTGTTAACGCTGAGCTGAGCACCCACTTTTTCATAGAATCATAGAATCGTCTAGGCTGGAAAAGACCTTTAAGATCATCAAGTCCAACCTTTAACCTAACCCTGCCATCCCACCACTAAACCATGGCCCTAAGCACCTCATCTACCCTTCTTTTAAATACCCCCAGGGATGGGGACTCGACCACCTCCCTGGGCAGCCCATCCAAAGCCTGACTACCCTTTTGGTGAAGAAATTTTTCCTAATGTTAGTCAAGCTTCAAAGACCACTATTGATTTGGTTGGGTGTTCTTTTTTTCATTCCTGTGGCATGACCAAAATGCTCTAAACCCAATCACCCAGGTGAGAGAAGTGCTCAGATTTGTGCTTGTTTAATCCACCAGCAGCACAGACCTAGGGCAGGCCAGGCTCGGGCAGTGCAGGAGATCTGCCTTTCTCTACAAACTGGTGTCACCACAACGCACTGACCCAGTGGCAGTGACACAAGCGCGGACACGGGGCTGGTGGGCAGCACGCTGCTCCTGCTGCTGGGGCTCCACAGCCTGCCACAGCCACCCAGCACCCAGGCTGCACATGCAGCAAGCTACTCCCTCTTTTTTGCATCCCTTCTGTCTTTCCAGCATGGTGGCTCTTTGTTAAAATCATTATTACTGTCCAAAATGTTGACTAACAGAAGCAACGTGTGTATTTGAATAATATGACAGCAGAAACATGGATGAATCCCCCAGCCTTTCCTGTCTTCCCCCTCTGCAGGGCTCCAAGGAACAGAATCACAGAATCCCAGAATGGCAAGGGTTGGAAGGGACCTCGGGAGATCACCCAGTCCAACCCCCAAGCCAAAGCAGGTTCTCCTAGAGCATGTTACATAGGACCTCATCCAGGTGGGCTTTGAATATCTCCAGAGAAGGAGACTCCACAGCCCCCCTGGGCAGCCTGGGCCAGGGCTCAGGCACCCTCAAAGTCAAGAAGTTCTTCCTCATACTCAACTGAAACCTCTTCTGTTTCAGTTTGTGCCCATTGCCCCTTGTCCTGTCGCTGGACACCACTGTAAAGACACTGGTTCTGTCCTCGTGACTTCCATCCTTAAGATATTTGTAGGTGTTGATGAGGTCCCCTCTCAGTCTTCTCTTCTCCAGGCTGAACAAGCCCAACTCTCTCAGCCTTTCCTCACAGGGGAGATGCTCCCGTCCCCTCACCATCCTTGTTGCTCTCCTCTGGACTCTTTCTAGGAGTTCCTCATCTTTCTTGAACCAGGGAGCCCAGAACTGGACCCAGTGCTCCAGGTGGGGTCTCACCAGGGCAGAGCAGAGGGGGAGGAGAACCTCCCTCGCCCTGCTGGCCACACTCCCCTTAATGCACCCAGGATGCCATTGGCCTTCTTGGCAACTAGGGCACCCTGCTGGCTCAGAACAGGCCTGCCATCGCTTGAGCATCATGGTAATGCTGAAAGCGACTGCCAAAGCATCTCTGATATGAGTGAGCAGACGAGTGACCTGCCCCTGCCTGGGTGGCAGAAGAGTCTCATTGACCCCAGGAGAAAAAAAGAAACCTATATATCATAGAATCATAGAATGTTTTGGGTTGGAAGGGACTCCTAGAGGCCATCCAGTCCAACCCCCCTGCAGGGAGCAGGGGCACCGCTAACCACATCAGGTTGCTCACAGCACCAGTCACACACTGAGGATCACATCCAAAGCATAAGAAGTGGAACATAATCTAGAATCATAGAATCATAGAATGTTTTGGGTTGGAAGGGACTCCTAGAGGCCATCCAGCCCAACCCCCCTGCAGGGAGCAGGGACACCGCTAACCACATCAGTTGCTCACAGCCCCGGCCAACCTGGTCTTGATGCTTACATACATCTGTGTGCTTGTATACACACACAGGTATGGACATACATACAGATACAGGTATGGATATACATACAGATACATAAATACATTAAGGAAAATTGTGACTTATCAGGAAAAGACATCATGAATGCTCGTCAGTGGAAGAGGAGTAATTCAGAAGCCTATAGAACCCTTGCTAGTACACCTCAATCCAAAGGACAGCCTCTTGTGCTGTTCCAGCTCTCAGCTCAGTCCCCTGCAGATCTGCCACCACACCTCTAACCCCACATGGGCTGCACAGCATCGCTCACAGCGCCGAGACCAAAAAATGCCAAAAAATCCCTGCTCTATGATTAAAAGAGAGACCCTGTCCCTTCCCATCCTATACCATGTTCCTCCCCATCCCCAGCCTGTGCTGCCTGCATTTCAGCAAGGTCCTGGCACCCTGCAGCAGCAAACTCTTCTAACCTCTCTTCACAGTTGCTGGGTTGCATTTGCCGGCTGGTGGCTCTATTCTCCCTTGGCAGACATGACCTTGCTGCAAAAACTAATTTCCAGCCACCCCATGGAGAACCAGAATATTTATCTGCCGCTGTAGCTCCCAGTTCAATGTTGCCTTAAGTTGCTCTGCCGTACCCCACATGGTATATACCACGTAAGGCTTTCAATGTACACTCTTTTCCCTTTGGCCATCCCACTTCCATAATTTAACCTGTCTTCTATAACCCTTTCCCACACCTGCCTTCAGGCATTTCTACATGGAGAATTTCCACAGCAAAATCATTAGGTACAGTGGTACAGGGTTAGAGGGGGGTTGTGCAACTATTCTGGTGCCAAAATACCTTGTGGTAATTTGTTTATGTCTCCCTGAGTTTGACAGAAATATTATTTAAACTCATCCTTATTCAGCTCTACAAAACATTATATGGCACCAGTCTACAGCAAAATGACAACGTGAGGGATAAGCCCTGCGCCATAATTTTGTCCTCCCAGATTCTCCCTGGGTCCGCCAGGCCATAATGAAGCTTACAAGCAAGGGTGTGCTCAACCAGCTTTGTACATAAGTGTTTTAACTTGCCCGTGCTGCCGTCACTAATACCTTTCAGCTATATTCATGGGAAAGGAACACCCTTTTAAGTGGATGCCCACTGTTTACGCTGTAACCTCTCTCTTGCAATCACAGCACTAGGTCCCCAGCAGAATGACCACTATTTTTCCATGTCTTAGAATCACAGACTGTTTTGAGTTGGAAGGGACCCCTAGAGTGCATCCAGTTCAACCCCCCTGCAGGGAGCAGGGACACCGCTAACCACATCAGGTTGCTCACAGCCCCGGCCAACCTGGCCCGGAATGTTCCCAGGGATGGGGCCTCCACCCCCTCTCTGGGCAACCCCTGCCAGGGTTTCACCACCCTCAGTGGAAACAATTTCTTCCTTAGATCCACTCTAAACCTCCCCTGCTTCAGTTTAAA